GCAGTGTTTATAGTTCGGCTTTGAAGTTGTTTCAAGCTTAGTGTATTTGTGGATAGTTTTCAAAAGGTCTACATAACTTTATCACGACTACACTTCAAAAAAAGTGTTTAGTTTAAGAAGTGATTGCTTTATATATTGACAATCCAAAATTTCAATTATATCTTTGCAAGTTTTTCTTTTATTGAACGTCTGCAAAAAACAATGATGTGTTAGTCAATAATTACAAGTTACCAGTGCGGGGAATTCGTGACGAAAGCGAGGCTGTAATTTTTTTAAAAAATGCTAATACTACTAGCCCGTAACTGATGCAAAATACATTAAAACAGCTATATACAATTGACAGAATTAGACTCCATGCATGAATTTGCAAAACCTTAAAGGGCAGTGATCGTCGCGACGCGTCCTGTTCGACATAGGTCCCATGTGGCGTTTACATCCAACATAACTTTCATTGTATTTACGCGATATTCGCACGCTATGCTTTACAATGGCAGCGCAGAGAAATGTACAAGCCTAAGAACACAAAACAAACGACTGCCGACAAATAACAATAGCTTGAGTTAAAGCGGAAGGGTCGTCACCTGCGCACGCGCGGGGATTGAGTCTCAAACGATGATAACAACACACGCTAAAAACGCAAAGGCTCATAGGTAGACGCTAGTTTGTAAATAATGACTATGGTCATCTGACGCATGCACAGGCTTTAATTTCAAATAATTATAATAATATACTTTTTGGCTAAATTGGCAACCTTTTGAATTAACTACTTTATACATTTGTCACATCTTGAATTCGCGAAAATAATTGTGTTAATTTTAAACCATTTCAGTTGTACTGGTTCAGTGTGGAATTTGGTCTCTGCAAGCAGGATGGTGAGATCAAAGCTTACGGCGCAGGACTGTTATCGGCATATGGCGAACTGCTGGTAAGTCGTGTACTACCGAGTTACGTGCAATTGTATATCCGTGGTGTGGTCTTGCTTCTAAGACAGTCGGCTTTTGAAAAATCATATGAAAATATTTCAAGAAACAGCTTGTACCATGTGTCAGTTATTCCACCTTGGTGTTATCAGAGCAACCAGATTTATTTCATATCTATTCCTCCCCTATAATTCTCTTACACCAGAAATTTCCCCACCCATGGCCAGTTACAGGATTACCCTCACTATAAACACATAGACCATAACCATTTCAAATCATAATGAATTGTGGGATAGGTTTGCCCGGATCAAAATAGTGATATGATCTATGTAGGACATTTTATTACTTTGTTAAAAAAAAAAACGTTAATACAATGTACTATTGATCATTAAAATCTAACCGACAAGCTCGAATGTTAACTACCTAAATTTGATTGATTGATTGTTTTTTGTTTGTTTGATTGATTGACTCATTTTCTCACGCCCTCGCACCCACTGTTTCAAATACCATGTTCACAAAAGAAATAAAACACAATCTGAGAGACAGAAACAAGTCTCGTGGTATTCTCGCTCACAACGAGATCTCGGCGGCCATTCTCGTCTGGGGTCTATTGTCCTACATCGTGCAAAAATATTTCAACGCGTTCTCTTCTTTTTAATTGTCAGTATGCGTTATCAGACGAACCAGAGCAGCGACCTTTCAACCCAGACACCACTGCTCTTCAAGAATACCGTGACGACTGCTATCAGCCAGTTTATTTCGTAGCTGAAAGCTTTGAAGACGCAAAACATAAACTGAGGTAATTTCATGTTTATTCCTGCTATCAAGGGGGTAGCTTTTTCTCGAAAAAACTACATGTTGACTAATATGGAAGTTATGACGGCTGAATAGTGTTGAATTGAAAGCGAAATTCACTTCAAAACGAACGCCCAATAACGAATACACCGTTCCGATCAGCCGCGCCCACTTGTGTCGACGCGTAACTATGACGTAAATGGATGAAAGAAAGGCGGTTCACAGCGTCGATGTGGGTTCAATCTGTGGTTCAATCAGTCAGCCAAGAGAAAATACTGTTTTTTTAGAGGTATTATATTGTAAATGATAAACGGCTACACAACAAAACAGTAAACTAGTATGTGACTGACATTTCTAACACCCCGCTACGACATTTTGACGGCACAGAATTGTTTCGTCGATAGAGGGCGCGACGTAACACGCAGAAACGAGTTAGAAAAGTACGAGAACGACCACGAGATAGCGAAGTGTACGTTTCTTTTTAATTTTCGAGCCTGTTTATTTTATCATTACAGAGAGTATGCTGCTAAGCTGGATCGTCCCTTCGAAGTGCGATATAATCCATTCAACCAAACCATCGATGTATTGGACAACAAAGAGAAAATACAGGCCATGGCAAACAGCCTTCAAGTTGAAATCAATGCACTGTGTTGTGCTATGGCTAAAATAGACTGAATACGTAGTGCGACCAATCTGTGACGTGACATTTTGTCACGTGACTTATTGCGGCCTGTCAGAACAAATGTCATATACATGTTGACCAATGAAAATATGTGTTTCAAAATCGATCTGTATCTTGACGTGCATAATTAGAAAAGGGTTGTACGTAGTTAGATTTTGTAGGATTCTAAATGAATTGAATAAATAGATCAATTATCATAGTAACTGTATTTTCCTTTTGTTTATGCAGAATGTTTTATCAAAATTAACTTAGTCAAATCTCACTTAGTGAAATATCACGAGATTTCAATTGCTTGTTGTAAATAGTCAAATTATTGAACTGCTTGATAATGAGATTTTACTAAATGACATCATCAGTAATGTATATTTTAATGAGATATTTGTGATAATATGATAATATTATCATAAAATCTGCATCCACCGTGTATAGCATAAATTATTAGCAGAGTGTGATTGCCTGGGGTTACAATCGTGTATGGCATTCGACCATACCGGTAGTTTGGTTTATTCGTCAACTTGGTTATTTATTTATTGATCAGTTACATTTTATTTATTTAAGGGACCATGGCCTATTATGTTTTAATAAATGGCCATAATATTGAGTATCGTGTGCAACTGTCTGCACTTATTTCGCTTAAATGGGTGCTTTTCTTCTTGTGTCTACTGGTATGGGAGACACATTCCACGCCACGTCTGTATACTAGTATTGTTTTCTAGTGTAGAATCAAATCAAAAATGGCCGCCGAGAACTCGACGACAGCGACAGATCCACGAGACTTAGTTTTGCCCCCTCCCTCCCAAAAATTAGTGTTTCATCCTCTCACCATGGTAACCATATTACTTGGAACAGTGGACCGATGGCGACAGAGAATAGAGCTATTGGTGGGGATGGGGGCAAAAACAAATAAAGGTCTCTTGCCCCAAGTTAGTATTTCGCCCACTGTTCCCTTGGCCATGGCCGGTAACCATAATAGTTGGAACAGCGGCCACGATGGCGGCACAGAGAATAGAACTATTGGTGCGTGGTGGTGGTGGTAGGGGGAGGGTCAAAACAAATAAATGTATATTGCATGTAATGTTTCTCAGATCTTAAAATCACAAGACTCAAAGACAAAATAGCTCTATTCAAAGTAATATGCATTTGCTCTGATAATAGATTCATATAAAAATGACCTTTGAACTACCACATTTCACAAATTATACCTCAAACGTTTGATCGAGACAGGTGGCCACGAGACCGTGTCTATTGAGTCCAAAACTTAACAATTTGAAAGTGAAGTAAAGCGCATGAAATGCGGTCAAATGAATAAGTTCGTTATTATATTTATGCTGGATGGCATTGATAGGTTATGCAAATTAGTTAGTAATGTGGTAAAAAGAGTGAGTTATTTGAAACTGTCACGTGATAAGTAAGCTGTACATTTTGCGTCAAATTTGGAGACATATATCCCAAGGGATGAATTTAGTGCTACCAGTCTTTCACGTAGAACGAGAAACGCGACACGTTGTTCTCGCGAGATTTCTCCAGAATGTGTGTAATTTACTCTTTATTGCAATGTAGTTGGCGTTTTTTTAAGTATATTAAACGTATAGCATAAACTAAACGTGTGTCTGCTCTGTGTTCTCGTGAAAATGCTGAAACTATACTGTGATATTTATCGTAAAATAAAAAACTTTGCAGCGCCGCAAATGCACTGGGTACGTGGGTAATTCGAACGGATGCACATGCGCAATTGCTTTTTTATTTTTCATCGGACGAATACTGCTGATTTTATGATTTCATTTCACATATATCATACAATTTTTTTTCCATTGTAAAACAGGAGTTTTTTTTTGCACCCCAGTCTCGCTACTTCCGGGAAAGTGGCCTTTGCAATCGTACACCAAAGCACAGCCAATATATCTTCAACGACGAAGTACTCGTGTGACTAAAATCGGTCCAGTCGAAACGAATGCGATTTTCATCATATAGCGTCATGTTATTTTGGTATGTCGTTCGTCGATAAAAAAAAATTATGCGACTCCACCACCAAACACGTGACAGTTGTCTTTTTGAACGACATTGCTTTCATCCACCGCCTTTTTGACATTACAGAAGTGTTTCCTCGATAGAGGGCGTAATTTTTTCGAGAACAAAGTTTTTTTTTTACAATAACATAGAACAGAAATATAATACGATACATTATATAAATATATGTTATAGAATATGTTAAGTTCCTGTATCATATCATTATGTGCATGACAGTGCCTTTGACATGTTTACAAACTTAGGAGAGCGTTGTAATATGAAAGTGTCTAAAACGAATGCTTTTATTGAGGGCGCTTCTATCGTATACGATATGTATTAGTTCTCAACCATATACACACAGAGATGACGTTCCAATTTGTTTTGCCATAAAAACAAAGTAGCTTTTTACTGTGCGCATTTGATTCGGAATGGTCAATAATAAATGTTTTAGCTTAGTTATTGGTTACTAGTATGTAATTTGTATATGACTACATGGTATAATATAAAGTTAATTTTACCGGATCAAAAATTGTGTTTGGCGATATAAATCTGATTTGATAAATCTAATTTATCCAAGTTGGTTGTATTTTATAATAACGATTTAAACTTGCTGTTTATTTCTGAGAAACTTGATGACAAAAAGACATATGTCTGTTGTATTTCCATTCATTTTTGTTAGGCGTCACTGCTGCTGTTTATAACTTTTTAGGTTTATAAATAATACTCAACGATTATTTCAGTGTAACAGTTAAAGCGGGGACTCGTCACCTGCGCATGCGTCAAATGGCCATAGCGTGCCATTGTTTACAAACAAGCGTCTACCCATGAGCCTTTGCGTTTTTAGCATGTGTTGTTATCGTCACACATGGGACTTAATTCCCGCGCGTGCGCACGTGACGACCCTTCCGCTTTAATAACAAAACAAATATAGCCCCGGAATTACACGTATCGTGTGGAAATAAATGCGAGGAAGAAATTTCAACGTCTCAAAGCAAAACTCTGCTACACTCGGATAACATAATAACCAACAAATATTGATCAAACGTAGCACTTTATTCAAAATTCACTTTTATCTACATACTCCACTAGAAAGCCTATCACATGATATTATATACGACCTAATAGTACTGATCTACAAACGAGAATTAATGACCAATCATCGGCCATTTCGTCCCACTGGCCGGAAATCTTTACACATGCGCAAAACATTGCTCAATTGCAATGATCAACCGAAGTGCTGCATGATGGGAGCTCCCCGAGAAATAATGTACCTATGTAATATTTGTGTGCTCAGGTTTAAACAAATTATGTTTACTAATCTGAGTACTTAGGTTAATAAAAATAATCTATGTTTACTAATCTGAGTACTTAGGTTAATAAAAATAATCTATGTTTACTAATCTGAGTACTTAGGTTAATAAATGAAATCTATGTTTACTAGTCTGAGTAATTAGGTCCATAACGAAAATCTATGTTTACTAGTCTGAGTACTTAGGTTAATAAAGAAAATCTATGTTTACTAATCTGAGTACTTAGGTCCATAAAGAAAATCTATGTTTACTAGTCTGAGTACTTAGGTTAATAAAGAAAATCTACGTTTACAAATCTGAGTACCTATGTTCACAAATAAAATAAGTGTTTACTAACGTGTGTACCTATGCCAATGATAAAAAAAACAGTGTTTACTGAAGCGTATTCGTGAAAAAAGACATTGTTTACTGACGATTGTCATTGGTTTGTATGTATGACTATGTGCGACACTACTGTGTGTGAAGATCAGGTCAAAGTCCACGCATGCGTGTAGACTACTTGGTGGCGGTGTATACAGAAGCTACATTTGAGAATGACATTGTCAAAAAAGTAAAATGTCAGCTCGCTTTAATAAGAAATTTATTCCAAAACTTAAAATAAAAACAAAACAAAAAAACAGATGAATGCTCATTTTGACCCACATATTTATCATTTTGGACATTCTTCGTCACGACGATTCAATCCACACAATCCCATATATCCCATAATTATGAACAGTGATATTATCTCCGACCAATTACGTCAGTTCCGGCTTCGTCGTGTAAGTTGCTTTAGCAATTAGCCAGCCAACCAGATTTCCAACCACCACATTTTCTGTCTGTAATAATACGAGAAATAAATCAAATAAGCAACAAGTTCTAGCGAAATAGATCGACTTGGGCGCTGACTTTCCCGGAAGTCGTTTCTCGTGCGCGCGCACAATATCTCGCGCAGAGTTCTATTTTTACGAAATATCTCTGCCACCACGCGATCTTATGCTTCTCGTTGATTGGTCGATGCGTCACAGTGGCACTACTTTCAAAGACGCCCATAAAAACATTGCCATGCAGGTGTTAGTTTCTTAAAATCGACGAACGCGTATGCGTTGTTTGTAGTTCATGTCTGCCTGTTTTCAAAATGAGAAGTTTTTTTTTTGTTTTTTTTTTATTTTCCGTAGCACAAACGGAGTGCCAGTAAGACGAGTTAGTCCACAGTCAGCTGGTGCACACGTGATAATAAAATAAATACGATATTTACTATATGGGGGCCGCCATCATATTGAATGACGCATAAAACTAAATAAGAGACAAGTTGTGAAACGCGTTTTTCAGATTCCTACAAATCAGGACAAAAATACCAATCTTTCACGAAAATACGGTCCGTTGTGGTTATATTAAGCCAATCGATAACAAAATTCGGCTGAATTCGTCGTTTTTGTGTGGAAAAATCCCTTGCATACGAACACCTAATTACGCGAAGAACCTAGAACACTAAGCCGGGGTATTTGAAACTAAAAATTGGCATTTCAGCACACCAGCCAATCAGCGACGGCCTAACGCTTAGATGACAATTTCGGTTTCAAATACCCCGGCTTAATGTTCAGCTATCGATAACATATATTCAAACTTGTTTACTGGTAAGAATAAATCACCACGAGAGCCCTCTAATAGCAAACACACTCAAAGATTACGCGTAGTAAAATTCGTGCGGCGTTTCACCATAAAATGGCGGTGTGTAGTGGCAGAGATATTTTCGGTGAGCACGGCGCGCGCATATTGGAAATGGAGTGCAACGTAAACTTGCACGCATGATATTGTCCTTGTAGTTGTACTTGTAGTTGTACCAATCGACGCGACAAAGTAGGATTCCCTTTACCGAATATCGCCAGACTGACATCATATTTGTAATTGACGCCACGACAAAGGTAGGCGTCTTGCTTTCACGATAGAGGGCAGCCAAAGCAGAGTAGAAATATATGTCACTGTTAACCACAACCAGCACAGATATTTGTTAAAATTGTTATATTTTAGATTGCCAAAACGAGGAAATATACTGGTTAACGTTGTTATCGATAGAATAAACCTAAATCTATAATTATCAAGTTTGACGACAACACTAAATTCTCATCATGCATTATAGAGTCCGGGTTATCTAGTTGCCTAACGACCGACTATTGGAAAGTACGCGGGTGGTGGAATTTGAAGAAAAAAAATAAATAATCTGTTCAGAGAAAATTTTGAAAAAAAATAGAGAAACAATAATTTTGTTTGTAGTTTTCCCTGCTCCGAATTTCTACTTTACCATACCCGCTTGAGTTTGGCGTAGACCATATGAAGATTCTGTATTGCAGGTATTCTTGTTTACTTAGACAGTTTACAAAATATAATATTGCAAACATGGTTTCTTTATTCGTGCAAGTTGGACAAATTTTATTTTACATTATCTTGGTATCCGTACGTGCTTTTGTAAGAAGAACATAAATTTAGTCTGTTCAACTTGTGAAAAACTGACCGAACGCGTTCAGTAACCTAGCAACTATGAAGAGCTGCAGGGTGAGTGAATGAAACTACAAATTGAAGCAACGCAAAAGATAAACGTTTCCCCGACAAATCACGAAACACAATATATTTTATTTATTTGACAGCAATGAGATATGAATCTGAGGATTGTGTGCCCTTCTAACCGCTGCTAGCCTGACAAGGTCGCATAAGTTGCGCCATCCAGTCCGCGGTACTCCAAACCGTTAGTGGGTCTGATGCCGTTCGGCCGGCGAGGGCGCCACTCATGGCTACATGTCAGATTAAACCGCTGCGAGAGGCTCAGTAGGCTGATCATTCATTTCAGTTTTCGCCGTCTTAGGAACCGATCTTTTGTAATAATCATGATGGAGGGTGACATAATACACCGAGAGCAAACAAATGTATGCTAGGTGTTACATCAACAAAAAATGTTGGGGAATTCAAGAAAAAGAAAATCAGTGATCCATGATGGTTGACCCGCTTACCGCTACCGGTCACAAAGGATTCGAACCCACGCACCTTCTGATGAGAAGTGTCATCGCATGGTCCGACGTTTCAACATTCAACAATTTTAAACGTTTTTTGCAATTTGTCGATAACAAAGTATCACATGGTCGATAGAAGTTGTCAGCTTGAGCTGTGCCCAACATGTGACCTATTTCCAAGCGTATATAAAAAGTAGAACTTGAAACGTCCTAAAAAAAAACTGTGAGCAATCAAGATCTCTGATTGGTCTGGTTCGGTAGCCAATCAGGTATATAGACTCATAATACTTACTGTTTTTCATTTGACCGCCGATTGATGACAGGAGTTCTTCATAATCTGCTATTAGGGTTCGACACTGCTGTACTCGTTCGAGTAGAGGCTTCTGAAATGAATCACAAACATTTGATGTGTTATAATAGAGTATTCGCAGTCAGTTCAAAGCGAAGGGATCGTAACCTGCGCAAGCGCGGGAATCGGAGTCCCAAGCGTTCATGACGTTGTTGAACGTCCACATTTAGTAACTCGAACTTTAATTAACAGTTAACCGAACTTCAAGTTACGAGCAACAAAGATTTTTTGTATATTAACCGTAATTCGAAGTTCGGTTAACTGATAATTTTATTCGAGATACTAAATTTGAACGTCATTTTTGTAACTCGATGTTTTCGTAACTCGATGTTTTCGTAACTCGATGTTCGTAACTCGAACAGTTCAGCATATCGCCACATCCCGTGGATTTGCAATTTCAGTTTTTCGGTTACTTGTGGGACGTTAAATGATAAATCATTAAGCGTACCTCTCAAGTTTGACAAGTGTTCAAATTCCGATCATCACAAACGCTCGGCACTTTTGAGACATTAAGAAAATGATTGCTAAAGGCATTATCAATTTCATAATTCTCAGTTAGAAGTTCAAATCCTTAGAATTGTTCGTGTTATTGTTTATTTCCAAAGCAGTATCTACATTATTACCATTTTTCAATTTAACATGCTACTAATTATTTGCCCATAGTATTCTTGATTCAATGAGATTCAACTACACATTCAACCTCGCTGTATAACACGTTTAACGCGTCTCCCAATCAAGGAAGCATGCACAATTGCCATGAAAGTAAACACGTCCATCGACTTGTAATTTAAAGTGAAAGACTTCAATGGACCTCGTTCCGATGTTTCTGTTCTTAACGACTGAAACGAGAGGTGTTCGATCATTATGTTTTCACGTACTTGTGACATCCTAACGCTTCATAACATGAAGGCAAAACATCAACACAAATTACCTCTCCATCAAACAGATAAATAACGGTACAATAATCACAGAAGCTGTCAAAACGGTAGCATGCCATATGCCCCATTGGCACTTAATATTCTTTTCCGGTAGGTGGCGCTCTTCACCGGTAAATTATTACAGATATGTATCCTCGGGGAGGAGCTACGTCACGTTCCACGTTGCTAAGGCGCGCACCACTGTACCACGTATTCGTTGTGTCGTCACCGGTGTAGAAGACGCCGAACTGCAGCGCGGCGTCAATGCCACGTATTTCTATGGGCTGAGGAACGCGGAACGCCGAGCGAAGAGCTGGTGAAAATTCCAACAGGAACTCAACTTTGAGTTATATGCGTTACACATGCAGGGGTAATCTTGTTACACTGTTCAGGGAAGTCTCAACAAGCACCCCGAAGTACCGTTTTCTGAAAGTTTTTGGCCTTTGTT